TACCCGCGAGGTTCGGGTCAGCGGGATGGGGGCAGAGAGCAGGAGCGGGAGGAGGCGAGACGAGCACGGAAGCAGCCGGGAACACGCTGGGAGAGGGGCCAGGAAAAGCCGAGTGCTCTCCTCGCACGCAGGCATGACTCCTCTCAGCCTGCCCGTCCTCTGGACACCCACCAGCGGTTTGTGCAGTGGTACTGGAGGCTCCCTCGGGGGGAAGAGCACAGCGGGATGGGGGCAGAGAGCAGGAGCGGGAGGAGGCGAGACGAGCACGGAAGCAGCCGGGAACACGCTGGGAGAGGGGCCAGGAAAAGCCGAGTGCTCTCCTCGCACGCAGGCATGACTCCTCTCAGCCTGCCCGTCCTCTGGACACCCACCAGCGGTTTGTGCAGTGGTACTGGAGGCTCCCTCGGGGGGAAGAGCAAGACCTGGGCCTGCTGCCTTCCTAGGTGGGCTGAGAGCCCTCCTCCATCCATGTCCTGTCCCATCCTTTTTACTAACATGCTCCAGGATGATCTTGTATGTATGTATGTGTGTCTGTACGTACTACTATGAGCTGGTCATTAAGGGGCTCCTCTTGCTGTTACAGGTTACTGGAGAGAAAAGACCATCAACAGACCTGGGCAAAAAGCCCAAAAGCCAAAAGAAGAAGAAGAAGAAGGATCCCAATGAGCCCCAGAAGCCCGTGTCAGCGTATGCCCTGTTTTTCAGAGACACACAAGCAGCTATCAAAGGGCAAAACCCAAATGCTACCTTTGGAGATGTATCAAAAATTGTTGCATCCATGTGGGACAGTTTGGGAGAAGAACAAAAACAAGTGAGTTATCGATCTGATTTTCTTTTCAACTGCAGAAATGTGTTTTTCCGTGGTGCAGAGGGCCAGAATTTCCCCCAGCACGTCAGGAACATAGCCAGGGACTTAAGCAGGTTGAAGCATATGCAAAGAAACAGAGGCTGTTTTCAGGAGTGGTACTGAAGTGCCTGCTGCCACTTGAAGCGGTGCTCAAGTGCTTTGCCTGCACAGCTCCCTGTCCCTGATTCTGTGCCGTAATTATGTGACCTGGTGCTCGGACACTTCCAGCAGGATGAAGTTTCCCCCCAACATACATCTTGGGTCCTGGAGTCAATGCCTGCCGAGCGGCTCTTACCACGCAGAGCGGCTGCAGTGAATCCTTCAAAGCTCTTGTCCTGGAACTCATTACTTGCTGTGGGCCACTTAATTTAGCTGCAGTCAGAGTCCTTGTGGTTTCCTGCAGCAGTCGTGCTAGGGGTGGGCCTGCACCCTGGCTAGCTGAGCCCAGCCTGTCCACCCTGCCACGCAACTCTATCCCACGGTGGTGCACGCAGCTCTGGGGACATGCTGGACTCCTGCAGGCCGGCCAGCTGTTGCACACTGGAGCCTCCCTGGTACGGTTCCTGAGCAGTTCACCTTCGCGCAGGGTTTGCAGTGCTCCTGAAGTGAGCGTGTAGGGCTCGCCAGAGCCCTGCAGCTGCACGCAGCAGGCACAAGGGCGAGCTGGGCAGGCACATGAAGGGGAGTGGAGGGGATCCAGCTGGGGTCTGTTTTATTGCTGTTGTTTGCACAGAGCTGCTGCAGTGGGAACGGAGGAGCCGTGTTCTCATTTTCCTAGTCTCAGCTTCCCTAACTCTCTTGATCAGCCTGCATGCTGTCATTTGATACAGGCTTAGCTACCCAAATCACCTCTAAGGCAGCAGTAAGCTGATGCAGGTCTCGCTTATGAACCCGTCGGAGGTGGGTCTCTGGAAGTCCTGACTCTTGGCTCATCCCTGGGAGGATGCAAATAGAGTTTGCTTTGCCTCTGGCCTTTTTAGGAAAATATCTGTTGTTCCATGGGGGAAAACGAACTTTTCTGACAACTGATTATTCCTAATAGGAGCATATTTCGTAAAAACGTTACTAGTCTTTCCTCGACATGGGCTTTTTATGTCCTTAGACGGGAGATGACTTTGTGTTTGCTTATTTACTTGCAACGAGTGACTATAAACTGCTAAAGACTATTAACTCTCTGCATGACTGGCCTGAAATCTAATGTTAAGGCTTTAAAAGCTTAGGAAGGAGGTCTTTGAAGTGATCTCACAGGCGAAACCTTCCTGCCCCATAGCTGTCAACGGCTTTCAGTCTAGTTCACATGGAGACTTTCAGGTTCTGGTTTAGCTGTTCTTGCTGGTTGTTACAAAAGCCTGTAATTGCTTGTTGCCTATAGAGGAAACCCCAGGGAACACTTTATGTAGCAAGTATATCTTTTTGTCAGGCAGAGAGAGATCTGACATTGTCTGCAATGAGTCTCCAAACCCAAACATACTTAAATTGGCAGTCCTCCCATAAGCACCGAGCCCTTCTTATAAAGCCTGGTAGACAACTTCAGGCTTACTTTGTCTCTCACTGGGTATCCGCAGCCGGGATTTGGGGAGGGAGCAGCAGGGAGGAAAAAAATCACTGAAATGAAAGTCATGCTAGGGAATGGTCTTACTTTCCATCCTGCTCCAATTTGGGCAGCCGGGTGTATGTGGGAGGCGATCTCCCAGGAGGAAAGCCTCTTTGCCGATCCCTTCTGACTCTCTGTACAGTGCTAGGTGTCACTTTGAAGTTTTCCCGATACTTCCTTTTCCTTCTCTGTACCATTTCCACTTCTTCTGCCCTGCTTTCTGCTCACCCTCAGCAGCCTTGTGGCCATCAGTGCCCACTTGAGTTTTTTCTTGCCCTTTTTTCCTGCACTTTGCAAAAACCCCTTTGGGCCAGTCACTGGAGGATCAAGCAGGAATTTCATGTGCTGAAGGAGGGAAGAACATCTTGGGTAGCAGGTCTGTCCCTGTCCTGCCGCAGGGGGAAACTCAGCAGGAGCAGGGGCTGGGCCGGTGCTGGGTGTTGGTGCGAGCTGTGGCTTACCAACTCAAACTGCCCTGGAGCTGCAGAAGGAGGGAAGAACCTGCCCAGGCTTTTGTTCACCTCTTTTCCCTACTTTCATCCTTCCCAACATCTCCGTTTATCTCTCTAGAAATATCTCTGTAGATTGGGTACTGAACTTAGTTGAAAATGTCGTTTATATAATGGAACTGCGAGTCCGACCCTGACTCAGCGCAGTTCAAATTCTCGACTGTTAATTAGCAGCATGAATTAAACCAGTCCGTTTATCTTCCCTGCTAACTCTCCCTTCTTTCTTTCATGAGATAGGAGCAGCCTTGCTGTCTCTTTACACATGCTTTATAAGTGGCTCCATTTCTCCTTCTGTAATTGATTTAATTAAGTCATTTGTTCCTTGTCTGAATGCTTAAATATTAACTTCCTGGCTTTGTCTCCATCTGTATACTTTTCTCCTCCCGCAGCTCCCTCCCTGCCTGGGACTCTGGCTGTAGGGACACTATTTATCTTTGGCTCTGGGACTGTATTGCCGGTTTGTGTGATGGGGCACGTTCACTCTTAAACTGTTTGGCTGGATGATAGTTTATTTAGTCCCTGTTAGCTTTCTGCTGCCCCAGCTGCCAGCATCCCCAGTCAATTTTGTTGAGATTCATAAGCCAATACAATGAAAAAAAAAGACACATTAAATTAAGAAAACGTCTTTAACACATGAAAACAGCTTACAGTGCCTAGAATGTACAGCAGATCCTTTCTCCCAAGGATTTTGGGCTGCAATGCATACATTCATTATTAATGCAAGCACTCCCCACTAGGTGCTCTTCTGGTACGTCTTGGGGGGAAGGGGACTGAGGAAGACAGCTATGCAGCGGTGTAGAAACTGGCCAGAATGAGCTGGGAAACCAGACTCCCAAGTGCCTGCTGGACCAGACCATCATTCAGTTCATCATCCAATGAGACTTTTCTGGACAGAGATGAGAGGGTCCCTTCCAGTGGGAAATGGAGAGAGTCCTCCTGATGCTCTGCTCCTAGCTGTAGTGACAGCCGTGTTTTGAAATATCTTTATTTAGAGGTTCCTGTAATTCCACATATTGTTATCCTGAATGCAGATATAATCTCAGGGAGAAGTGCCAGTAGACTAAAGCATGAGGAGGCAGATTGTCATCTGCAGAAGACAGTGCAGAAGACAAGCTGTGGAAAACCCAACACAGCTATGGCAAAGCAGGCACACAGGAAGCCAAATCTGGGCGTTCATACTCAACTATAACCAAGGTTTTATTCAAGAAAGCCTCCCCTCATCCTAGCATGAGAAAAGAGAATGGCTAGAGCACAGGGCGTGATGTGGGACTAGGCTGTGGTCCAGATGTGGATTGCTTGCATCCCAGTTATGCGAGGAGGTGTCAGGGACCGAGCTGGGCGATCACCTCCCTGGACAGCTGATTTGCAGACCGCAGCCCCAGTGTGCCATTTGTGAGCTGCTATTTACACCCCTGCAGTGTCTGCTTTTCAGGAAAGGGTAACACCCAGGGGCTTCTTCCCCAGCAGCTCCAACCTGGTGCAACTCAGGGGAGCTTTGCAAACCTTATTTTTCACTTTCCAGTGGCCACAGTATTCCCTCAGCTCCTGATGTTTTTAAGTCCTTGCCTGGTCAGGGCACAGCCAGGAAGACAGCAAGAGAAGAGCAACCAGAGAAGGGCTTGAAGCAAGCTGGTAAATCCATGCGTAGCTGACCTCAGCTAAGCTATTATTGTCTTGCCATCTTCTAACCTGTGTCCACGGCTTCCCCACACATGCCCTGCTGTGCATCATGACCATATCAATCCATCCGCCCCGCTCCATTGTGCCTGTCAACATCAGGCACGGTGGCAAGGGGCCTTGGCAGCTGTGCCAGCGGGGATGGGCAGGGTGGCCCCGTGCCAGCCCAGCTGATGGGCAGGGGGCGTTCCTTTGAGGGACGCTACACGGAGCGTTTCTGCAAAGCGAAACGAGATGCCACCCGTTTGCCAGGTACCCCAGGCCGGCCTGCGGAGGGTTAATCCTCTGCCATTTGTGCTGCTAATGATTATATGCACTGTAATATCCAAGCTGCAGCTATTTATTTGCCATTGAACAGGTGCTGCTGCTCCCACAAAGCAAATTTGCTTTCTCCTCCTGAGGAAACAAGCAAAATAAAGGTTGCTCACGTCCCATTTCAGATATGGTTTTTTCCCTGCGCACTAGCTGAAAGACAAACACCGAATGGGAACCAGAATGCATATTATGCAAGAAACCGTATAATCTAAGAACATCTTTGATTTGGCTGCTGCTGTCACAGACATGTATTTCACAGAGAGGCTTTTTTTTCTTTCATTCGTTCTTACTGGTTTATCATTTGTGCCTTTGTCATTTTGTTCCTTCTCCTTCTTCTCTTCCCAGCCCCTTCACAATGAATCTTCATTTTCCCTCTGACACACTTGTATCTAAATTTCCTTATTTCCTGCCTTTTTTTATTTATATCTGTTGCCTGGTGATTTGATCATGCTGTGGAATACAGGATTAGCAATCTCCGTGTCCTTGAGTGCTGCTCAAGGACACCTGTTCAGCAAGTCGCAGTTTTCTTCCCCACTTTAACCCCTTCCAGTGTGGCCATGTGTTGCTAACAATAATAAATAATAATAACTTTAAATATCTCCGGCACCGCATTAGCAGGACATTGTAATCTTCATTCTTCAACAGCTGGCATGGCCCTTTCTAAGAAGCTTACACAGGAATCTAAAGAATGTGACTCAAAAAAAAAAATTAATACATACTCTTTGAACTTTGCAAATAGTTTAGCAGCTGTTCCTGTAGAGATAGCTTATACTTCAGTAGAGAGTGAAATGCTAATTCAGCCATTATCATCAAATGGGGTACCTGTCTTTGTAATCCTCCTTTGGCTCCAGTTCCCCATTCAAGGCTCA